CTAACCTGGAAAGAAAATGCATAAGGACACTAAAAATGTGAGGCTGATAAAAACATTACTTTAGAACTAAAAATCTGAGAGCTGTTCAGAGAGAAACAACAAAGTAGAAAATTGAATTTCAGTCACTTTGAAATAAATCCTTTGGAATATTTTAAATTTTCCTACAACGAAAAGTATCTAAGGCCCAGAGCTCACTTTCATGTTCCACAATAATGACCTTGACACGCTGCTTGCATTAATTACCAACTTGGAACGAAATTTGGATTGCTATAATAGCTATTACATCCTATTGCACATTCTTCCACACCACAAAATCGTAACTGTAATCAAAATGCAACAATCCACACTTTTTTCAGCTACTTTTAGGGGGGAAACTGTTTTTCTTTTAAAAACTCCCTCAGCTGCATTTTCTGTTTTCCATCTCCCCAACAAGCACACGACACATTTAAATTCCAAAACGGGAGCCGTGGAATGAGAATCACAGTACTATAATGTCAGACAAGTTAGTATCAATTCCAAACGGTAGAATCCTTTAAAATATGGAAATAAAACAAGATATGTTGCCTGTATAAATTGGATAAAGCATTACACAAGGAAACAAACATGTATTAAGTTCCCCACGGGTATCCTCATACGGAAGTCAATCCTGTTCGAGACACTATTGGATACTAAATGTGACTGTCTCTTCTAGCAAAGATTCAAAATGTATTTTTCTACAAGTGGGATGGACTAGCCTTTTCTGCTGGACTCAACCCTCATTGGTTGAAATGGACATGCATTTAAGACCATAACAAATAGGTTTCCATATAGAGCTATGTTTGGCCGATAGAGAAATGCTTGGAATAGAGATATGGTTTTTAAAGTAAGTACATCAACATATCCCATTTGGTTAGCTTCACTCAATCAAACATCAGTATCCACATCTAAAAATCCCAATAAGTTACCTGTGCCTGAACTTCAATAGGAACTAGGAAGAATAGACATACTACTCTCCTAATCTTAAACATAATCCAACTCAAAACAAGGAAGAATGGACATACTACTCTCCTAATCTTAAACATGATCCAACTCAAAACAGGGAAGAATAGACATACTACTCTCCTAATCTTAAACATGATCCAACTCAAAACAGAATGATTTCAGAAGTAGATAGATTCAAAATGAAGCTACACTGTCAAAATATCTAGTCACCAATAATCATATAAAAAATATAGGAAAAATAAACAAATAACTATGCTCCATAAGTAACATACCTCTATCTTTAAAATTTTCATACAAGTGCGAGAGTTCTGTGTAATTTGATGATGTCAAGCCACTGCCATTCATTCAAAGGAAATCATTCAATAGGAGGATCATAACATACCAGAAACTTTGACATAACTTTCAAGGTATTTAATTTGAACCTTCTCAAATAGAACTTGATTAGCAGAAATTGACTAATCACTTCGGAGATACGCTTATATAGAACACACTATTTATTTTTAAATGAAGACTCACCACCTAATTTGTTAAATGAATAACACCGAATCCATCCTATCAGTTCGGCTTGAATAATGCCCCCCTCAATATTTGTAATAATTCTAAATTGCGGATGCGTGAATAAATGCTTGCAACCCATGCGGTTGCAATACATTGCGGAAACTTCTAAAACCCTAATACTATGTACTACAATGGAGAATTATCTGCTTAAGCATACCTAAAATTTTATGTTTGGATTAGTGGGATGTGATGGAATGAAATAAAATGGAGTGGTATATAATCAGATTCCCTTGTTTGGATTTGCAAATAATGGATAGTTGTGTATTTTTTATAAGTTGACGGAACGGAACAAAACAATTTAGTTCATTCCATTGCTCCACTCCACTCCATTCCATAATATTCTATTCTGCTCCGCTCCTTTCTAATTCATCGATCCAACCATAACCTAAAGGGAAAGTGAGTGCAATTTCCCCTAAACATAACATTACAACTGAAAAAAATAAGGCTTTCACACAAATATAAAGTGAATAAATCATACCATCGTGAAGCAACATTGACAATCAAGAGAACCTTCCCCTTGAATTTGCTAATAGAAACATCCTTCTTATCAATATCCTGCACCACACAAAAATCACAATATCCTGCGTCAAAATTATTTTTAACTTAGCTCTTTGGAAGATAAGGGGTAGATGATTCATCATGCATTCATGTTCTGATCTAGCCTATTGAAATCAACACAAAGCTAGCTCAGTTATCTTTCATCAAGAGATTCAAACAAACCATGCAATGCTAATATGAGAAACCTTGGACAGATTCTAATCATAAGGTTTATAACTTCACTTGATCCATTAGTTAGATTCTAACATTTGCCAATAAAATATTATAATCAGAAAGTCTTACTAGATTTATCTTAGATTTCAACTTTGGCAGACACTCTGTATCAATAATAATCATAGCATTTGCTACAAAATAGTAGTACTACTTGTTACAGAAGTGAAAATATCATGATACAAAGGCAAAGAACAAGTCACTCAAATAAACATGCTTTGGTCAAAATCACACTCTGCAACAGAATATGATGCTTAAATGGTTATAAAGTCCTTTTACAACACCCACTAGGCACTATATAGCATAGCATATCAGAATTCTATAAACTCAGCCATACCTTGAGTTGAGCATTACAACAAACACTTGATGAGCATCATTTTAGTACTATTCTAGTCAGGTTTCAGTATTGCTATTTAACTATTCAAAATAATCATTATACATTGCAACTTGTCAATAAACATATAGTATATATTTTTGCATCTAGGCTGTGTATAATATATTGATAGGAAAAGGACAAATTTTAGAAGAAAAAAATGATAGAAAATCAAGGGAATCAAAAATTGGAATCACTAGTTATGATTATTGATGAAAATAACTAGTAATCCACGGTGAAGATTCACTGAAATTTTTGAAGCAGTTTTTCACTGAAAATTACTTTGATGTGAATCAATTTTCATGAGTTGAAAAAACAAAGCAGAACCTGAAGATTGTTGGTTTTGACGTAGGACCAAACATGCATGAAACAGGTTAATCGAGAAGTCTGAGATTGACCGACGAAGTCTCTGAGAGTGGGAGGAAGGTTAACGAGATCGATCAAGTTTGCGAGCTTTTTAGGGTTATCAGTAACGGCTTTCTTCATTTGCTGAGGAAGCATTCTTCACTTCAATACACGATTTGTAATGGCTGCGAGATGGGTTTATCAAAATTCTAACTTCAGAGGAAATGTGCAACTCAATTTGTGTTTAGTTAGGATTAGGTATAAATTTAACAATAACATTGTGTTTCAACTATATATGTGAATATTATGTCAAGCTGTATGTATATACTTTAGCTCATGATAAATGATTATTTAGGTATAAACTTAAAATCATTTTTCAACATCAATTAAATCCACATATCATGTTATAAAAGTCATGTCTTTCGAGGCATAACCATAAGTTATCCTTGGTCTAGTCCTATCAGACCGTCTCGACATCTCATAGATCCTCCTCAAGCATAATACAAATATAACAAGCATTGAGAAAAAGATGAAAGATTAAATTTATTTGATTGATTAAATTGAACATAACACCATTGTCGTATCAAATTCATAGAATATATAATAATGCATAAACTTAACCTTAACAAGAGAGAACTTAAATATACATAACAATTATAATTAGATAAAATATATAAGTTAGCAAGAGATTTTTAAAGGTTTTGAGTGCGACGGTTGTTTTACCGTCGTGAAATGAATTTTAGGACGGATAATTTTACCGTCGTGAAAGGTTTAAGGGTGCCACGGGTGCTTTACCGTCGTGATATGCCTTTTAGGACGGTTAATTTTACCGTCGTGACTAGTTGTAGGTGAAAAATCAATGTTAAAAGTGTTAAATGGGGGCCGACGATTGTTTTACCGTCGTAATAATAATATTATGATGGTTAAATATACCGTCGCAAAATAAATATTAGGGACGGTTGGTGTCAACTGTCGTAAACACTGTATCTATATGTCAATTACGACAGTTATCACATAACTGTCGCAATTTTTGTGTCGTTAAACACTAATTTTCTTGTAGTGATTGTTGTGAACAAGCTTTGGCCATGAACAAAAGTGAGTTTTGGCCAACTTTGCAAATTCGATTCTCTCTAACCACAAGGGTGTTTGAGAAGTTCTTGGACAATTTGGAAAGCTTGGAATGTGTACTACAATCCATCTTTGTAATGAAAATTGAAACTCCAAGTGGAACCATGTTAAAAATGGCCATGAAGTTGGACAAAAATCCTGCCTAGAATAGGGCAAAATTTCTCTAAGTTAAGAATGTTTTGCACCGTTGTTCCAAAAATCATAACTTGAGATACAAGCTTCCTTTGAGAAAAATTTGTGAATCAAAGTTGTAGATTTTGCAATGGACTACAACTTTCATGTTTCAAGTTTTGTTTGAATACATTTTCATCTTAGTGAAAAAATGGGGCAAAGTTAGGAAAAAATAAGAACATTCCATAACTTAGAAAAATTTCTAAGTTATGAAATTCTTCATTTTAAACCCTAATTTGCAAATTTGGATTTCTTGATGAACACGTTTCATAATTTGACATGTCTTGATGAAAAATGAATCTTGGCACTTGATTTTGACCAAAAAGTCAAAGTTTGACTTTTCAGTATACAGTCAAATTTTGATTAGTTGACTGAAAAATTCATCTGTCAATCCTATGCATTTGAGATCTTTTGAACTTGTGGAATGGGTCAAGACAATTCCATTCAGTCCTTGAGTCCATATGTGAGCTTGACTTGCCATTGGTTAGGTCAAACAGTCAAAAATTGCCTTTGTGCAGTCAAAACCCTAAAAATGACCATTTTGCCCTTTTGATGATCTGATCAAATTTCTTGTGGAATTGTGATCCAAACTTGATCAAATGATTCATATGAGTTCATAATATTGATGTGGGTCAAAAATCATGAGGTTTGACTGTCAATTGGCCACAGTTGACTTTTTCCCCAATACAGCTGATTTCTAGGTCAACTGTCCAATTAACTGGGCAAAGATTGGAATCAAGGCTTGAAACTTGGTATGGATAAACTTGTGAGTCCAACATGAAGCATGAAAGTCACCTTGGGCATTTTAGGTCAAAACATCCCTGTGCAAACTCAAACCCTAATTTGGGTCAACAATGCAAGGAGGGGTCTTGAGCAGAGCAAACCCTAACTTGATCTTGAGTTCCAAGAGTCTTGTGGTGAGAAAATGTTGATGAAAATGAGAGGGAAAATTTTGGGGTACAACAGTTGCCCCTGTTCAATCTTCTTGAACCTGAAGAGTTAGATTGACAAGTTTGCCTTTCGTGTCTCGAAGGTAAAAGGAGATTGGACACTAGAGTGCCCGTAAATTTGCACTCATCAAAACATAGGTCCGGGAATGGGCTTAAAGATGCCATTTGGAGATGGGCTTAAAGATTCCATCTGGAGATATGATAGAATCTTGTCGGGGGATGGGCTTAAAGATGCCATCTGGAATGTTTGTTGAACTGAGGATCAAAATGGTATCCGTGTCTGGAATGCATTTGAACTGTATCTGGAGACTGAGTTTGTATGAGCAAAAGAATGGCCTCCGTGTCTGGGGCGTATCTGAGCTGTAACTGTGTTTGAATGTAGAATGCATATCAGAATGACTTCCGTGTCTGGAGTGTATCTGTATTGTATCTGGGTAACAGAGAAATATTTGTGTATGGAGCAACTGCGTGCTGGGGATAAATTCTGAATGAGTGACAGAATGGCAACCGTGTCTGGAGCGTATCTGGACTGTATCTGAAGTTGAGATTTGTATGAGTAGTAGAACGAATTCCGTGTCTGGAGTGTATCTGAAACTGTAATTGGGATCTGAATAGATGACAAAATGGCTTCCGTGGCGAATGCACTAGGGAGAATCAAACTGCTGTTGTAAGGGTCAGAATGGTATCCGTGTTTGGAATGCATTGAACCTTGAGGTGGATAAATGAATCTGAATGAGAGATAGAATGGCTGCCGTGTCTGGAGCGTATCTAGTCTGTATCTGATTGTTGTAGTCTGAATGAGTAGTAGAATGACCGCCGTGTTTGGGGTGTATCTGGACTGTATCTGACTTGAAGTTCCGAATGAGTAATAGAATGACTGCCGTGTCTGGGGTGTATCTATACTGTATTTGAATAATTGTTAATGATAGCCTTTTAATCTTATCCTGAAAAGGATGAAATGTTAGCTAAAACACAAAGTTATGTTGCATGATATGTATGATTCAATATATGTTATATCAATGTTTATGACATGAATGTAATGAATGCGCATGTAAGCTGATGAGCTGTCTTGCTGAGGATGGATGAATCCTGGATAGCCGAAGATGATAGAATCTTGACTGTTGCCGGGGAAAGTGAATCATTGACTGCTGCAGGGGATTGCAGGAATCTCTGATTGCTGAAGCTGAGACATCCTTGTTGACTGCTGACTTCTTGGGGAACAAGATCTTCAGTTGTTGAGGGATCTTAGGACCACTGCTAGGGACTGAAAATCCTTAATGACTTGTGGGGAATGAGAATTTTGATGATCTCTACTGGGGAGTTCAGAACCTGGGAGACTCATGCTGGAGAAGTAAGACTGAGAATCTTCAATCTGATGGGAAGTATCTCTGTGGGGAAAACGTTCACTAATCTGGTTCCGCTGGGGATTGATAGTTGGAAGTTTTAGCTCCGCTGGGGATTAACAGCTTTGACTTTACTGGGGATAGCACTTTCAAATTTTTAGGGCTCCACTGGGGATACTGAAACTTAACTCTGAGGGGATTTAGATTCTGGAAGGCTCTCTGGCTGGGGAAATCAGCTTTGAGAAAGCTTTTGTTCTGCTGAGGATCCTGAAGCTTTAACTCTGTTTGGGGAATTAAGCTCTGGATTTTAACCTTGTTGAGGAATTTGGAATTTAATTCCGCTGGGGATTCCTTCTGAAAGGGCATCAAGATATCTATCTGTACCTTCAACCTATCATCTTTCTTAATTTGTAAGAAAATGATTACGTTCAAATGCATATGCCTATTTAACAAAACATTGGACGTTTCTCGGATAAAACATAAGTGTAAAAAGGCAAAAGGAAGACAAAGCAAATTTCTGTATTTGGAAAAGTGTTTGTATTAACTTTTTATGAGTATCTTTGTACAAAGGAGACAGACATCCTAGTAAGAGGATGTTGTCGTAAACATTGAGAAATTTATACAAAATAAAGATGGCTATGTGCAACAATTCCATGGGATTCCCATTCTGCTACAACTTTCACAACTCTGAATATCTTGTCCATTCACTGCTTCATCCGCCGATGATTAGATTGATCAGAATCTCAGAGCTTGTTAATGAAGAGATTGTTCTTTAAAGTGATCCGACGAGACATAGTCATACGCTTTAATTCCCTAACTTTTGCCTGAATCGCCCTTTCGGGTTTTTGATTCACCGGGAAACCCTTTTTTGCCCAAGCCGCCCTTTCGGGTTTTCAACTTGCCAGGTGTACAGATTTTTTTGTTTTATCCCTAATTTTTTCTTGAACCGCCCTTTTGGGTTTTCGGTTCACCGGGATGCCCATTTTTGCCCAAGTCGCCCTTTCGGGTTTTCGACTTGTCGGGTTGTTTCATGCGTAGTATCTTTTGACTATGTCTGCGTTCGCAGGGTGTGGCAAATCGTCGTCGTCCATGGTGGTCAGAATCATTGCACCACCATAAAATATGCTCTTGATCACAAATGGTCCTTCGTAAGTAGGAGTCCATTTGCCCCTGGGATCACTTTGCGGCAAGATGATCCGCTTGATTACAAGATCTCCGACTTGATACACCTGACGTCTGACTTTCTTGTTGAAAGCCTTGATCATCCGTTTTTGGTACGTCTGACCATGGAAAACAGCAGTGAGTCACTTCTCGTCGATCAAATTGAGTTGATCAAGTCGGGTCTGAATCCAATCGTCTTCATTCAAACCAGCGTCCTTCATAATCCTTAAAGAAGGAATCTGAACTTCCATGGGTAGGACAACTTCCATACCATATACCAAAGAAAATGGGGTTGCCCCTGTTGAAGTATGTGCCATGGTACGATATCCATGCAGAGCAAACGGTAACATCTCATGCCAGTACTTGTAGGTGACTGTCATTTTCTGAATGATCTTCTTGATGT